GGTTTCCAAATGCTGATATGGTGGAGAAGGACGGCGCAGGGAGTGGTTGATGCCTGCATTGTGAACCGCCTAACCGCCTGACGGCTCCGTGCACAGTATGCGCTGTAACGCAAAGTGATTCGCACATAAGCACGACCCACTTACCTTCGCCCGCACAATGGCAGAAGTGTAGAACAGCTGGATGGATGGATGGATGGATGTTACAAGCTTCAGCGAGCTCGTACGGCCCAAACGAACCCGGAGGCTCATGAACCGCTTTGACAGCGCCGTCGATAAAGAAAAGAAAAAAGAGAAAAAGTAAACGAAACAAACAGCTGCGTCCTTGTCACAGTTTGTGGTGTGTACGATTGCTACGGCCAGTGACAGCTTGCCATGATGAAAGCCGAAGCGCAACCACTAATAAAAAATTAATACTTACGCAAAAGTTATACCATTCATACTTTCGAGCTTCAATAGCTCCGTCATTTTGGAAGCTCTCCACTCTACGCTGTTGCTTGAGTGTAGCTAGGAATGTCCGGCGACTGGAAGCAGCCGTGCTGGAATGTAACTGCAGAGCCTGGTGGCCTACGCGCCTGCGGTGAGTTCACACTCTTCGGCCCCAGCCTCTCTTTCAAAGTGCGAGAGAAGTGTTTCAACTGTTAGCTCTCCTCTCCGTTTGCAGTCGTGACATGTTGCTTCCCATGCATTACGGTAAGCAAGGGTCTAAGGATTACTCAACAGCTGGGGAATGCGTTTCGTCTATCACCGCAACGAGGGGTCAACGGATGGAACGACTTAGGTGATAGGGGTGTACGTCATACCATCTATTCTTATTTTTGCGAGAAATAACGGTTGGAATATCGCATCAAAATATTTTGGCGCCAAGGTTTTACCCCGCTGGCTGACCCCCTTTGGTTGCCCTTTCTATGATGTCATCGACAGTATGGGATCAACATCACCAAGCTCGGCGACGCCAAGGTATTTGTGCCGAACCTGTCACTGGGCGGTGGTTTGCGATGCTGACCAGTTGTGTCCTGTTACGCATCATGGCGTCGCGCTGCAGGAAGTGATGTGCTCCGGGCAGTTCACTCCTGGTGAGGACAATTACTGTAGAGTGCAGTACTTGGTTTTAACATTTTATCCCGCCATTATTCTACGCTAACGAAAACCGAAAAGCGCTAATTGAGCCCCCTCGTCGAGCATCTTCCAATGACACATGCCCCTTGATTGCCACAGCTTGCTGTCTCTACTGCTGCGCCACGTCCGTGGGCTGTCCGTGCATCGTCCACATTCCAGCTCGCAAGGTGAGCAGCTCTCACGACGCGCTTTCGATGACCGTTTAAAGCAGGGATTGATCGCAACCGAAAGAATCCTGACCCTCATGCTGGGATCTACTGACTATGTCTTTCCTTCCTCCTTCCCTTTTCCTTTCATTATTCCAGAACATTCGGGAAAAGTACAATATTCAGGAGCCGCAACACGGCTTGCTTGAGGTGAGAAACATGCTCGGCGCAAAGGAGCACTCGCGAACCAGGGCATGACGTAAGAGCGTCCAGAGCGGTTCCCACCCTCTTCTCATCAGCTGTCTCATCACCTCGCCCATCCCGCAATGACGTAACAAAAATCAGCTCGGATAACTATCCTTGCGAAACCTGCGGCATCATTGTCCCCGCTTCAGCTGCGCGCCTTGCGAATGGCAGCCTCCTAAATTCCAGATACATCGGCAGGGACTAGGTCTGGGGGCCCCGACCCCCCCAGGCCACTTCATGAAACGTCTTGTCGCCATCCCTCCCTCCACACAGTGCGCAGCGACCTCTTTCGCCCGACTCGCCCGTGGGCTTCCATACACACAGCGCCACCTCGGCTGATGTCCGTGTTCGACTTTTGTCTTCATCTTTTGGCCCCTTCCACTTTCAGGACGTCCTGATGACTTGGTGCTGCAGCTGCTGCGCCATCATCCAGGACTATAATGAGATCAGCGCTGCGAGGGGCGAAAAATCAGGTAAGGCGTCGACGGGTGATGTTCTTAGAAAAGCATAAGCAAGCAGGCACCTTTTAGCCCCAGCTTTGCTGGGCTTATCGGTGTCCCTTGTCAAAGCATTTTTTTCGAGCATATTTTTTGGGAAAGAGCTGGAAAAAAGTTGTCCGTGTGTGTGTGTGCAGGGCTGCTGCAAGCTAGTGTGTGTTTTTGTTTCGTAAAGCTGAAGCGCATCAGGCAACAAAGCTAGCCCAACGCCCGTAGGCCCATTTAATGCCTATCAGGTTTTCCGGATTGAACCTGTGGTACACTGGGTCCTGAGTACATAAGTCGGTCCGAGGAAAAGAGGAACGTGGCTCCTCCCTCTGCATTCCACGTGTATGGGTGCTGACTTGCAGTACGTGTCGTACATCTGCTACAATGATTTATGCAGGGACCATCTTTTCCGATCTTCTGGAGGCCTTCGGAGCTGCCGATACCGGTGCTACGGGGAAAGCTGATGAGGTGCGTGTACTGTGTGGCGTGCATGTCGCACTGTTGGAGGTAGTGCATGCATGGTCAAATGGCCGTAGCAGCTGTCGTGTAGTTTGTGACACACGCTTGAGAGCAGCACATGTGCACTAAAGCACTCTGCAGGCATATCAAGGAAAGCCTTTTTGATGGCCAGCTACTGCCGCGTCTGTTTTCACCTGTCTCTCGTGTCTGTGGGCGCAATCTCCAACCGCATCGGAATGCGTTTGCATGCATCCCTCCTCATTTGCCTGAGGCAGCGAAATAGGGGCCAAAGCGGCCCCAGTGGACACACTTCTTCTACTTTTCCTAGCCCTTCTCAAGAAGGAAGTCACAATAATAATAATAATAATAATAATAATAATAATAATGATAATAATAATAATAATAATAATAATAATAATAAGTCAAATTAACATCCTTTCTGCTTTACAATTACTGTTCATCACGAAAAATAAAACCTCTGGGCAGGTTGATAAGGCCAATAAGGAGAACGCAGAGGTGAAGGATGCCGAGACGAAGAGTGCCGATGAAACAGCGGAGAAGAATGCTGACGAAGAAGCGGAGAAGAGCGCCGATGAAAAAGCGGAGAAGAGTGCCGATGAAAAAGCGGAGAAGAGCGCCGATGAAAAAGCGGAGAAGAGCGCCGATGAAAAAGCGGAGAAGAGCGCCGATGAAAAAGCGGAGGAGGCGGATCTCTCGGGGAACGGAGAGCACAAATCTTCGTGAAGAGGATCACGCTGGGACGCTGAGGGGCCCGATATGCGTGATAAAGCTTAATGCCAGGCGGCTTTTGAGGAGTTTCGCAGCCGAACATACATAGCCATACAAGTGGACAAGTGGTTTTGACAGTGTTTTCCTTGCCTTAGGACCTGTTTTTTCTTACCCGCGTATGAACTTGATAAAGTATATAGCGCAGGGAGATACTTCCTTGATCTCGCGCTCAGTGTGCTCGAAGTCAGCCTTGGCGATATTGTGCGATACATGCGTACAACGTGCATGTCCATCATGTATTGCTGCCATTATATGCGTCGTTTGCATTATAAAATTCATTTTACTGTACGCCTAACTCCGGAATGTTCGCGTTTGTGGCACGTACGTCACTATTTGGTGTTATTGGACTGCGTTGGGACAGTGTGGTAATATCATCACCTTGACGTTAGGCTAGTTTATTTGGGTTTAGGCGTCGCGTGATGACGGCAGAGGAATTAATTGCCACGCGCTAGCATTCACGCTAGGTAGCATTGAGCCCTGGGTGCTCTTCGCGCTTGCTTGTATGTGATTGGTAGCTCTTGCTGCTGATTGTCGGTCTAAGATGCTATATCCCATTCTTGATGACGATTTGTTGACAATCGATGTGCGGAGGTGGCTTTACTTGGACTGGGCTGCTTATCAGTTCGCCTGCCGCATCGAACATTGTTCGATTAGGGGCGGAGGCGGCGAGACACCAGGGCGCATGGCGGAGTTGCAGGGTTCATGCTTGGGTCGCTACAGATTGGATTGCATCTCTCCTTGTTGGCGCAGTCATACCAAATGACTCCGACGAGGACCTGTAAGAGGCCTATATCGACAAATTCTCTTTGTTTGCATATTGCAAATGCATGTGAAGTAACAACTTCTTCTGCATAATCCGAGCACACCGGGGAGAGTATGCGGGGCCCCGTACGGGCAGCGATCGTGTTCACTACTTAGGGTCGATGCTATTCCACAGACAAGCAAGCATTTGCGAGCATAAAAGGTGTTTTTATTTATTGTGGAATTCTAGGCTTCCTCACAGCCAGGAGAATTGCCTGGGAAAAGAACAGGGCGCCCAAGGAAACGCGGGAGCCTTCATGTAAGACGCCGTGGCAACATAATGTATGAAAATTAATTGGATATGATGCGGAAACAGGGTTGTCGAGTCTGTGACGCACTGAGGGAAACCAATGTTCGACTTCGCAGCAGCGACGGGTCATACGTAGCATCAAGGGCAATGTAAAGTATTATTTATTAGAAAAGACTATTTACAAAAATACTTTTTTTGTAAAACTGTCACGTCTTGGATAGCTTCAGGGGGATTCTCAGCTTCCTTCTTTCCGTTAGAGGTACGTTAGAGGTAACTGAGCTTTTGGATCTAATTTTCGAATATGGCTTACCTTGCGTCCTTTCGAACCTGTGATGAGATATTGTGATCTGTTGGCATGGCACGTTCTCTTACGCCTCAACCCAAATAGTTGTACGATACATTTTTCTATCGTAGCAAATTTTCTCGATTGGTTAACTGTCCTGTCTTGACGTGACTACCAGTTGCAAAAGTATCCGCCAATATGCCCTGCTGAAAGTATTTGTATGACCTTTTCCAAAGCTCAATAAACCGCCAACATTTGGAATTCCATAAACTCTCTGAGGCGAAACCAGGATGGCGGCAGCCAACGCTTACTGTGGCCTTCCTAAATTTCCTAATTTCAAGGTGTGATGAGATGCTTACATTCTTGTCCTTCGCTTGCCAGCGCCTGCCCGCCAACACGGTGTTCACTCGAATGAGACACATTGTAGGTGCACAAGCTCCTGGGCAAGGGGAGCTATGGAAGGGTCTACAAAGTGGAGCGCGAGAGCGATAAGCAGCTTTATGCGCTTAAGGAGGCTGACTTAGGCTCTATGTCTCAGGCTGAGCGTGCTGATGCTGTCAACGAGGTTCGACTCCTAGTCTCCATTTCGCATCACAACGTGGTGAGTTGTGACGAAAGGATTTGACACGAATCGCGGCTAGCTTGGATGCGGCGTAATATCTGATTGGGGATAACACTATCTTACGCCTTCGTGACGCGAATACACCAAGTTGGTGGACGATTCCACATCCTGGGACTTGTCTCTTTTAGGGCCATCCACATATGCTCAGGATTTGGCTGCATTCATTTGCAGTTAAGCCTGTGAACCTGGCTTCCTAAGCGAGTGTGTCTCCCCTGCCACGCTCTTGCGCGAAATACAGATTCGTTACCACGAGGCTTTCCTGCTTGGGAACAAACTCTGCACGGTCATGGAGTACGCCCCGTTCGGCGACTTGCGCTACTACATCAGCAAGGGCTCCAAACGTAAAACTCCATTCCCAGAGGAAGCAATATGGCGCATCCTCTTGCAGCTATGCAGGTGGGTTGCCGACCGTCTTGCAACTTCTCATTCACGCATCCAGGTAAGTGCTCCGCTGAGCACTGCCCCTTGACGCCCCATGGTCTCTTCTGTGGTCGTACAAGCCGCGCGCACAAAGGCGCAACGGTGACGAAACCCTCTGAACGTCGCCCACCCTGTCTCCGTTATGGCTACTGTAGCCGGCTTTAATGCTTTCTTCTTCGCGTCCTCTTAAACTTGCCTGCCATACTATCCCATGTACATGGCAGCTGTTGTACACCCAAGGTGCCTAGCACTGCCGTGCCAAGCGCGGCCAAGCCACCTGCCAAACCGTGGCGCTTTTCTTGCCATGCGTTTCCTGCCGTACATTTCCTCTCCTATGTATGATCTTCACCTCAATGTGGCAACAGTTGCGATCAACATTTTGCCTCTTCGCTCAAATTTTCCGTCTCGGCCCTCTGTTCCTCTTTGGTACTCACAGGGGACTCCAGGCGCTCCACAGCCAGAACATCATTCATCGAGATATTAAGCCGGCCAATATTTTCCTATGCGCCAACGACCTGCTCAAGATTGGGGACCTGGGGATCGCCAAGGCCCTTACCAACATAAACTTTGCTCGCACGCAGATTGGCACGCCTTGCTACATGGCACCAGATAGGTTGGGGGGTGGATGTGTGATGCTGCGTTTGACTGCGTAATAATGTGAAGGCCCGTAACGCGTCCAGGTTACGCCACTTGACAGTTACAATTCCAACCATCGTTTCGGAATTTGCGTTTTACAGCATCCTTATGAAGACCTGTTTGAACTCAGGGACGGTAATCGATACTTGTAATGTGATATCTTGTGGTAAGGGAAGAGTGGGCTCGGAGGGTATTGGTCAGGGCCTCAAAAAGCGCTGCCGTCAGTCGAAGCTTGTGATGGAGCCGAAACAGATGAATAGTCCTTGCACTGGCGTTGCACAAGATCTGTGTGGCGATCTGATATTCGCTGCTCCTGTAGCTTAAATAGGATTCTTGAGGCCAATCTCCGTACCCTAATTGCGGCGCGCACAGGTGTGGAGTGGGCGTCCGTACTCGTACAGCAGTGACATGTGGTCACTCGGTGCAGTGCTGTACGAAATGATGACGTTCAGGTGGGTGGGTTCGTTCTGCGATGTTGGGCTGCGAGACTTATCAACTTATTAGGACGCTCAAAACATAGCGCCGAACGATGAACTGCGTGGCGGGACACTGGCGTAGTGCCAGGTCCTGACGCTGGCAGATCAGCTGGGGGTGCAGCGTCCCTCTGATCCCCCCTGGAGCTGGCAAGGAGGGGGAAATGGCTGGCAGGAGAGCATCAACGACCTTCATCTGCCCCTACACTGCTTGTACCTCGATGATTCCTAATGCACAACGACCCCCCGATCCGCAACTGCTCATTGCCGATCCGAGCGCCCACCGCTTCCGTCTCCTGCAGGACCCCCATGGAGGGTCGCTCCATCGTGGACCTGCGGAACCGCATCGTTGGTGGGCGCTTCACTCCCGTCCCGAGCGGCTCTTACAGCCAGGACCTCGTCACGCTTTGTCACAGCCTGCTGAGCACTGAGCCAAGTAGACGGTAAGCAGGCGCATGCTTGGGAAGATGAACTAGAGCTTCGCTACCGTCGATGCGAGTGATTTGCAAGTCCATGGGCCAGGTACCGCACGCGGCGGGAAGTTCTGGCTGGGGTCCTGCATTGTGCGTTTTCCCGGAGAGACACACACATGCATGCACACATATCGCAGAGCCAGTACTGCGGTCGCGTAGTTGGAAGCAGCTAGCGCTGAGATGCCCGCCGGTCATCCGTAAGCACTACATTACCTGCTCCCATGTCATTGCATTTCGTCTCATACCTTCTCCTCGCCCGTTCACCCGTGGATTCAGGCCTTCTCCCGCGACCATCCTGGCGGGCTCCGCTGCCAGCAAGTGGCTGCACATCCTGCCGGAACCACCCGCTTCTAACCGGCCACCGGCACGCCGCTGGACTTCTGACGGTGTGTTGCCTGATAGGCAGCTAGATGGCACATGCGACGCTCGTCGATTCCGCCGATGAGGCTTGTTGATACGAGCAGATGAGGCTGTGACCGTAGAGGACAGAAGATTTGGGAAGGAGGTTTTTGAGTGGTAACTCGTGCATAAGCGCCCCCTCGTGCAGCCCGTCCCTTCAGCGGTTCGGTCCCCACGTCATCATGAGGTAGTTGTATCTCTGTCGCTTCTACAGGTTAACCCTTGAGAGTGTGAACCGGTGTTCAGGCAAATGCTAACATAGCATGCATAGAGGATTGCTGGGGGATGGCGGCATAGCACCTGGGATGCGCTTCTATGGGATGCGGCACAACCCATAAGTGTCCGCCATGGCTGCTTAAAGCAAGCTGACAGACGAAGCCACCCCCCTTTCCCTGTCCCTTCTCTTCAGGTTCGTCCAAGGGCGCCCTTTTGGACACCATTGTTGTCCCGCGTGACCTTAAGCAGCTCCCGAAGCACCTGCCGCCGCCATCATACGATACGGACATTCCACAGCCCCCGCCGTCGCAGGCCGCGGGGCCCCCGATGCCAGCGCCAGTGGCTCCGGTCGCGGCCCCGGCAGCGCCCCCTGGCGCCCAGCGGGCTGCGTCATGGTGCAGCGCCGCGGCAGCGCCAAACACGAAGCCGGCACCGGTGTCATCACATGTAGCGGCTGCGGCTTTAGGGAAGCCGCATCCGAAGGCGCCGTCGCAACAAGGTCAGAAAGCGTGGCGGGCCGTCCATTGCAGACACTTGGTAACCTCTGTTACTCGCCATGTCCTTGTAGTCGTCTTGAGGGCTACAAAGCCAGGGCAAAGGATGTTGGAATGATAGGCGAACCCATTCGCGGCCGCACTTTATTTCCAATGCAGGCTCCAGGCCCTCCTCTCGGGACAACAGCCGGGCGCCGTCACCTGCAGAAGTGCGCTCGATATTGGACAACCGTAGAGGTAAGTGCTGACGGAAAGGCAGTGTCTGCATCGGATGGCTTTCACCATGGCTCTTGTGGTTCAGCTAACGTTCACCATTCACCTTAATACGCAAACGCCAGTTTTTGTCGGTTTCGAGAGCGAGTTGAGGCCTACATTAATTTGCCTGGCACGCTTCCAGCTCGTCTCCACCCATAAGTTTTTTGAAGAACGGTAAAGGACTGCGCATCTTTATTTCCCCACCAGGATAAGTAGCCTGCCGTGCGTATTCCCATGCTGCAGGGCCGACGCCGCTGCCACCGCTCTTCCCGCGCAACGGAGCATATGGTGGTGGGGCCATAAGTTCAGCTGCGGCTGCGGCGGCAGCCGCAGCCGCTGCGGCTATTGCAGCGTATCAGCAGCGCTGGACGCCTAACCCCCAGCCCGTGGCATTCAACGCGCCGCGGTCCATTCCTTATCGCCGTGTGTCCATCTCATAAGATGGCGTCACGTTGCACTTAACGATGCAGCTTTTTTGTCCCTCAGTACATAAGGCTGCCTTTATAGCATGTGCAGGGTGACAACTGCCGCGCTGCGCTGGAGACATTGAAGCACACTTGGCAGGATTCTTCTTTTTGTGTCACATGGACATGTCGCAGTATCGAATCTTTCCGTCCGGCAAACCGCAGGCTTCTTACGGTAGGATGTGTGCCGGCACCGCGGTCGGGGCGATTCGCGTATGGATAGCGTTCTTGGAAGAGCGCCGATGTTGCATCGGCTCTTTTTATATTTCAATTTTCCTATCACGTACTTCACCACTCAAGAGGCATCTGACGATTCATTTTCCTTAGTTTTTTGGCGGGTTAAGCACCGCCTTACTCCTTGGCTGGGCGACTGTCGAATGACTGTGTAAGATCGACTCTGGCAGGTACTGAGGGAGATCGTGATTACGATCTGACGTGACTGCAGGGGGAACTGATGCATTAACGCAGACAAACCGTGAGCAGTGGAGGTTATCGTAGTGGAGACTTTGTCACGAACAAGCATTTGTTGAACATGCGATGAGAGGACGTTGACTTCGTTGGGATGGGTTGTTGGGTTGGAAGTGATTGGTCGTGTTTGGACAAAATGATTTAATTGAAGTGAATCAATGTTTTGTGAGCTGGCCTTGGTCTGAGGCGGGAGGCAAAATAATCAATTTCGAAAGACAATGCAGGATAGACATTGTAACATCGAACAATGAGCCATTTCTATTTACAGACATACTAAGCTGGTAACTAGTCCGAGATCATCACCTTATTTTACTCATATCGCTTTTGCGTATTTAAGATAAATGATCGCACTTAAACGACGCCATAATGAAAGGTCGACGGACCTTATTTCCCATCCGCACTACCGAAAACAGCACCCGCGGAAGCAACCCATTTCTTATCCAGCCAACGCTGCAAGAAAACATTTTGCATTTGACGCTCGACGACATCAACCATGCCCGCGCGCCCGCTGCGCCGCTTTCTTCCGCCGACCGAACGGGGCCGAGAACGCCCGGAAGGTTATTTATCAGTCTCTACTTTTGCCATCGTATCAACGTTTCATACAACCCACATACATGACATGGAACTTTCTCTTGATTTTTTCATGCAAAATCACATAAACATTGACTGCATCGCATCGTCATCAGTAATAGCTAGAACCAGGCATGATGAAGTGCGTATGACAGCCGTTACTTGTCCTCAGCAAGAAGATAGACTGCCGCTGCTTTGCAATAGCCCTCACTTCGCCAAACCCAGCCACATTCTACATACATTCATAAAAGCTTTTCGATTCGATGTGAGCATCTCCCCCTGAAGCTATCTTCAGCCATTCCCGTACCTGTTGGGCATCTCACATCATCTGACCGCAAGAACTCTACCATAAAGCGTACGTGTCTTCTTGAGCATAGATTACTCCACTTCGGAGGTGGGCGAAAAATAATCGCAGACAGACAGACAGACAGACACTCACCACAGCCTATTCGCGTACGTGCTAGCATGTCGGAAGGAGGCACTCTGGGAAGAGGGCTGAGTCACAGCCAGGACGGCACCTTCCATTATAACCCAAGCCCCGAAATAACGGCCCTGGCATGCACAACAGCTCGGGTTCAAAGGACCGTTCCATTATACCCGCCACCGCTAAGGCCGCTAGAACTTCTCAAATCCAAATGGCAGCTTCAGTCACACCATTTCTTAGGGCAATGCCATACGGAGGGGCTCTTCCTCTCAGAAGGGACTTCCTCTCCAGAGGCAGTTCGAAAGATCACCTCCCTCCGAAGTGCACTGCACCATCAGATACTGGCGACCAGCCGCTTCACCACCCTCCGACTCCCTCCCCTCCGACCACGCGGGAACTCACCAGAACAACCCCGACAAGCCATAGTTGCAACGCCATGGAGCATCCTGCCATCCGCATTCGTTGATATATGAGGCATGACATCCACGTGCAAATCGCACTTTCACTTTCTAAGCCGAATCGCTTTTATTATCGACCGCTACCCAGGGAACGCTTTTTCATGTGTACCTATCCATCAAAGCCACTTACAAAAACCTTGATGTGCTGTGTGTACTTCATTGATGAGGAATGGTTGTATTTAAGTCTTAAGAGGAAAACACCATTCATGCCACATACATGAGAGACGGCAGAATTTCCGGACGAGCTGGCGCATTGCCTTTGGCCGCACTGGGTTGCGTGGTGGTGGGCGTCTGTTGCATGGTGAGGTGCGCTCCCGCAACCCCTAGCAGCAGACCGACGAAAGTTTCCACTTTCTCCAATCCAAACCGCTAAAGACCAGCGACAGCGCGGCGCCGCGTCCTCGAAGGAAAGCAGAGCCGCGACGCTCGGCGCCCCACCCAGCTACCTCACACCACGCGCATGTGGCGCGCGCGTACGCGTGTACCTCGGAGCAGCTGGGCGTGAACATATTAAGTACTGGTCTCTGGAAACTGCGACCGTGTATTAGACATTGATAGTGATGCTGTTGCTACGAGACGATATTGGCACATACCAGCACGACCATAGGCGCGCATTAGCAATTTTCCTTTTTCCTACAAAATACATGCACAAGAGCCACAAACAGACGACCAAGAATCCACTGGTTCCAGAGGCTGTGATCGGCTGGTACCCGCCCGCCCCAAAGTGAGGCCAGTCAACACCAGCAAGCGCCATCCCAGTGGCCGACAGAGCCAGCAGACCTAGCCGGCAACCCTACGGCATACGGTACGCGAGATTCTGTATCCGTACGGAAGTACGGCACACTGCAGTGCTGGCGCCGGGCGCTGAAAATACGCACCGGAACGCGCATGCCTCAGGTTTTATCCCCCGCTGCGCGATCTGCGGCAGTGACCTTGGCCTGGCCTTGGCCTTGACCTACCGCACAGGCGGCTCCAGCGCAAGGTGCCGAGCCCTTTCTGGTGACGACGTCCTCCCTCAGCCGCTGAAACCGAAGCCGCCGGTTCACATGGCACGCGAGCGTCGTAACCAATGCCGTCGCAGTCACTGCCAGTGCTCGAAATACCGACTCTGCGAACAGAACGCCAGTACTGCCAACGCCAAAACCGGCGCCCCATCGGCAAAGCGAAGCGGCCGTGCAGTTCATGCTCTGTGTTGCGCAACAAGCCTCCACAGCAGCAGCTGGCACTACGGTCGTTGTGACGGCGGCCGCAGCGGTGGCGGTGGCCGCAGCGTGGCTGAACACGGTGTACAAGGGCAGCTTGATTAGTGCGAGTAGCAGCGCGTCCCAAGGCGACAACAGGAAGGCCGCGGGCACCAGGACGCCCTCCATCACCAGCGCGCCAGGACCCAGGCGATAGCCCTGCGACCGCACACACAACACTCATTTGAGAGGCGAAGGGCGAGAGAGAAAGGTTCAAAGCGCTTACTGGAAGAACACCAAGTGGACATAGAGACGAAGGTCTGAAAGGGTCCGAAACAGAAGAAATCAGAGGACAATTTGGCAGTCAAGCTTATGCTTGTAGACACCCTCGTGTAGAAGAGTTGGGGGCTTTCACGAGCGCATGGTAAGGCGCCAAGGATGCTCGCGCCCAATAGCATACATGCGTTACGTTAGATTAGGCAGCAGGAAGGCGAGTACACACACACACCTAGAAAAGCATGCAGGCTCACACCAAGACAGATACGCAGTTGTCTATTATCTTATTTGCGACAACCAACCAACAGAAGGGTGTTCACGCCAAAGCGTGCGGGCATCACTTCAACCGACCGACCGACAGACAGACCTGGTCGTAGAAGCGGTGATACACTAGTGACGAGGCAGCAGCGACGGAAGAGGAGGACGACGGAAGAGACGTCAGGGCCCCCGACAGCCACAGCAGCCGGCCGGCCATCAGACTAAGGTGCCGCACAAGCCGCGCGGACGGCGCGATGCGGCGCCAGGTGAGCGGCGGGAGCAGCAGCCAGGCCGCGCCAGTCAGCGCAGCGGGCAGCGACGTCAGGACCAGGAAGATCAGCAGCGGCACAGCTCCATAGGGCCCAGCATCGTCCGCGATGGCAGCCCCGTGACCGGCACCCGCACGTTCATTACTCATCGCTTGGAGGGCCAGGAGGTGGGCCAGCAGCTCAAGACTGCTCAGCAGATCCAGGAGGTGCCTGTTCGGGGTTCCGGATTTTCGGTGAGTAGTGGTGATGGTGTAGGTAGAGTGCCGCATCCACACAGCGGGAAATCAGGAAGAGAAACGATGGTGATAAGAGAGAGAATCACCCCCTCCGAACTGCTGCCCGCAAACAGCAAAGATCTCACGCATCCCCGGCAACGCAAAAGACCCGAACCCAAACCAACGGACCCCGGGTCAAACCACCAAATCCACGTGGGAGACCACAGGGCCCCTAGGGGCACGCAACAGTTCCATATGAGGGACATAGACGACACCGCAAACAGCACTGCCAGTGCTTACAAAAGGCATGTGGTGACGGCGCCGTACGACTCCACAAAAGCCTGGTAGGCTTCCTCTTCCTCCTCGGCCGCCGCCGTCGGACTACCCCTCTGCCCGCGCCTGAAGCCCAGTGACAAGAAAAGCATCTTCAACACCGACTGCATGTGCCGTACGCCCGCTGCCGCTGCCGCCGATGCTGACGCTGTGCCCCTGCTCACGTCGGCAAGCACCCGCGCTGACTCCGACGCCGTAGACCCCACCCGCGGCTCCTCCGCTCCCACGTCCTTCAGCCCGTCAACACCTGTAGTATTTCGTGCTGTGCTGCTCGATATGTTGCAAAGCCGCCCAGCCTGACGCACCGACAGAGACTCCTGCTCAGCGAGCTCCGGAGCCGTAGTCCGACTACGGCCTGGGCCATTGCCACCGGCGGCAATGGGAGCATCTGCAACAGCTGTAGCCACGGGCGCCGCGGCGGAATGCGCAACACCAGTTCGCCTTGGAGCGGCCTCGACGGCGACGAGTGGTGGGAGCGCACGCAACGACAGGCCGACTAGAGGCGGCGGCGGCGGCGGCGGCAGAGACGATGGCGGCTGTGGCTGAATCGCACCTGGGCCACCGGGCGGCACGCGGCCGTGTAATAGGGGTCTGCGTGGAACAGGGGTGGGCGCGCCAAGGCATCATGCGGTCAACCGTAGATATTCCATGTAACCTAGTTTGCATCAGGCGATCGCATCGGTGTCCCGACGTTATCACAATGGCACGGGCAGTTCCAACCTTGTGCGTGGGAGCTACGTCGGTTTCATCATCCAGGGTCGTCGTGTACAGGGTCGTCGTGTAATGGACAGGACCGAGAAATAGATCGTCTGTAGATTCATGGTATAGAATGGTCTACTGTAGCTCGTGCCATGGTATAATAGATAGGCCTGAAAATAGATCATCTATAGACACTTCTCAAATTTACAGACGGATGGAGCTGTAGGCTATTACTCAGAAAAAACACGTGTGCCGCAGCCCTGTCTAATAGATGCGTTTTATCATTACAGAATCCTAGTCCGCTGCAGGAGGAACGTAGTGAGATTGCAAGCTGGAAGGAGAAGAGTCGCAGGCGCAGGAGGCCACATTACCCTTGCACTCCTATGCAGCAGCTTCAAACGGGTTGTCAACTTGTCAGCTGCAGGGCTCCGCAGTGCTACGGGAAAGAGTTACGTCTCATGTCCCCAAATAGCAACAGGGGAACGCGATGCGGGGAATGAATGGCGACAGAGCGCTGCCAGCCCTGGCCAGCCCCGTGCCAGCAGGCCCTTGACTCCCTGGCTAGGCGCTGATGGCAGTCAGGTCTGGATATGCGCGACACGATGAGAGACGCGTGCGCGCGCAATATTACACAATCCCACCTGAATGGTGCGGTATAGCCGCAACCTCGCATGTCCATCTGCAGCCGCGCGGCCATCCCCATAAGACCCTGTGCGTGGGCAAACTGCAATAGCGACGCGCCCAGAACCGGCAGGTATGGCGGCTTGGGGCGCACCAAGCCGTTGCAGCGGTCGCCGCCGGAGGATGCTGTTGTCGCCGCTACTGTAAGCGCGCTCCCGACGGCGGCGGCGGCACCGCTGTCCTCGTTGCTAGCCCGGCGCAGGGGTGCCATATACCGCAACCACGCGCCGAAATCGTATAACAGTCCGTCCAGCTCCTGCGGCGGCCCCGTCCATGTGGCCGCCACAGTGGACAGCTCCGTCAGCAGCTGCTCGTCCATCTCGTCCAACAGAACTACCGGAACCACCTGCGCTGGCCGGCCCTGCCATCTGAGGTCTACGAACATCACGCCGCCAGTCGCCGGCGGATCCTCTAGGAGCGTGATGCGGTACGCGTGCGTTACGGCGGCGGCGCCGCCGCCCTCGTCAGCCGAACACGTGACATCTACTGACACATCTAAGCCCGAAGCCTTGCGGGTCCGCTCCTCCGTCAGCGGCAACGCGGGCTGAACCCCTAACGGAATGTAGCGACCGCTGCAGCGGAGCAGTAACTCAACGGAGGCCGGCGCCGCTGCCGGCGCTGTGGGAGTGGCAGCCGTAGCAGCGGCGGCGTCGGGGGCGGTAGCCGATGTACTAGCGGCCCCATATGTGCCTTCCGCTGCGTTGGCGGGGGCTATGGTCACCGGTGACGTTAGTTCTCGCAGGCACACATGCGGAGGTGCGGAGATCTCTAAGTGAAGCGTGATGAACTGTGCGGTCTCGCCACGCTGGTTGTCAGCCGGCAGCGGCGGCGCAGCGGCGTTGCCCTGATGCGGCGCCGCTTGAAAAGGCCCGGCGCTGGCGCTGGCATCGCGGCCGCCGCCGTCAAGATCTGCCGCTGCCGCTACCGGAGCAACCGACACAACGTACGGCGGCGCTGCAGGGAACCGCCTATCTCCACGCGGCATCGTCACCACCCGCGGATGCACCCGGGAAATGGCCGGGCAATTAGGCGATGACGAGAACGACGACTGACCCACCATCGCGGCCCGTACGGCAGGCGCGTACCCAGGCAACATCGGCGACGTCGCATCAGGACCAGCGCCGGCCACTGCCCCCCCTTGAGAGCGCCGTGAGGGTGGCGTCGTCGTCACGGTTGCTGCAGTCCCCGTCGGCAGCGGCAGCTCCTCCCTAGGTGGCGGCGTCTCCACCGTCATTAATGAACTACCGCTATCATTGGCTGCCAAGCCGCCGCCGACGGCGGCGCGCTCACGCTGCGCCAACGCCAGCGCACTGTCCGTAGTCCCAAGCCTCACGCGGCATTCAAGCCCATCACCAACCGAACCACCGGGACTGCCAAAGTGCCCCTGCTTCTGCGGCAGCGGTGGCTGAATTCCATCCACCGCCGCGGTGGCAGCTGTGGCTGAGGCGTCCCGGCCATCCGCTGCTGCTGCTGCTGAGGGCTCCACCCCGGCGCCCGACTCCGGCGCGCAGGGACCGGCAGTGGGGGCAGAGGCGGCATCAGGTGGGCTGACGGCAAGGGAAGCTCTTTCCATGAGCCCCACATCGGCCGGCGCTTCCCTGTGGACACTACACCCATCACCCGCTCCGCCACCACCACCACCACCACCACCACCACCACCAGCCTGACCATCGCAGCCCGGATTCTCAATGTCCAGTGTGAGCTCAATGCAGCCCTGTGTGAGGAGTGACCCCGCAGAAAAAGCACAGGACGGGCAAGAAGGATTTCACACAGACGGGCAAAATCTAAAACCGTTTTTAAAACCCTTCACGGACACTGGGCTAGGGGTTCCTCGGGGAGGCTAGGGAGGATCTAGGGAGTTCTTGGGGGAGGCTTCCGGTTCCTCTGGAAAAACCCAGATCACGTGTTCCCATCTTCTGCCGGCCCACCCCGCGCGTACCCTTCGAACGTAGACTGCGGAAATGACGCAGCCGTGTGTGCAAGCGACTTGATGCAGCCATTCCGTGAAGTGGGTCGGCAGGTCCTCGGGCTCCCTGCCATGGATCTTGACCTGGACGCAGCTGAGGCGCGCTACCGGAACGTATCCGGGAGCAGCGCTGCGCCGGTGCAGGTGCCGCTGCTGATGTCGCACCTGCACATCTACGGCTGCACAGCATGCGCGCCGCAGCAGCACGTGCAGTGGAGCAGCGGTGAAGCACACCGAGACACAGCTGCTGCTGCTACTGCCGCTGCTACTGTTGCCGGGTCCCCCAGGGGGGTTGCGGGGGATTTGGGAGAGGCTGCAAGGGCTACCGCTGATCTGGGTCAGAGGTGGAGGCATAGATGGAGCCAGCTTAGCGTTGTGGCGGCGCTGGGAGGGCGGGCTGCCGGGCTGGGGGAGATGCTGGCTGTGAGGTACAACTGGTGTGGTTAGTTGTGACAAGCTCGTCAAAGGCCGTGGTTGATGAACGCCAAGTTGTATTGAAATAGCGGCGGCGTTGGTGTGCTCTTCATGCAGCTGTGGGACATCGCCGCTGTAGACAGCAGGCGCAGGAGGCCGGTTCTGCCGACGCACCGAGCGCAACCTAGCCGTCAGTGCACATGAGGTTTTCAATAGTCTCCGAGTAAAAAGCAGCGTTAAGCGTGGCCCGTCAACACAAAACCGGGAAAAGCTGGCGAGGAGAAGAGCAGCGATACCAAAGGCGCCGATACTTAAGCTGGAAAAGCACCTCAGTAATGCGCTTAGAAGCTTCCAATACGAAATGGGAATCCATGTGTCATGCCGGACGGTGCTGAACACGCTAGCAAGAAGTGTTGAGTGCGGATGGGGCCCTGCGACAACAGGGAAATATGCGGGGGCCCTTAGCTCTCCATACCCCGACAGCAAGATTGCCGTGACGGAGCACACAAACGTTATCCTCTCAAGGTCTCTGCCTATTTCATCAACGACGCACTGTACTTCAAGCACCTCAACCTTGAGGACATAAGAACCGGTATAATAAGGGATTAACTGCCCTTGATCCTAAGTAATATCTTATGGTGATGAAGCAACTGCCTAACTTGTACCTTCATAGGAGCAAGCCCTGCAGAGGCAGCTCTGGCAGGAATTCCTTCCTGTCTTGCAGGCAGAGGTCAATCCAATCATCCCATTGGTAGCGTGCTTGCCGCAGCACCAGCTAGTTAACAGACAAGGCAACCAGCGGCTGAACCATTATGGCGTTCGTAACTACTTTTATCAAACAATTTATCAAAAAGGTTTGATGCAGTTCTTCTTGTATGACTTGTACGCATCTCTGGAGCCTAAATTGTGGGTTGGGATTTTTTCGTACGAACAGCCCGAATCAGAAAAAGACTATAGCGTATCCAGCAGTATGAAGTACCCGCTAATCAAGGGAAAATTTTACGTTCTGCTATCTTGCTATACTCCATGGATAAATCAGAGGGCCATGAAGCCCAGCGAGGCTACTGTTGGGGCAAATAGTGTTTAGGCCGTAGCTCCGCTGCCCTCCAAATGTTCAAACACAGCACACGGAGCCTGCTGCTACGCAGCAGTCTAGGCACCAGTCCAATAGCGACTCGCGTGTACGGAGCTCGCAGCCCTCCAACCCTGCCTGAACGTGCGTCTCTCGCTCCGTCGCCATCTTACAAAAACCCCTTGGATTCACCATCAGCTTTACGTCATGACCTTCATGGAAGTAAGCGTCTTATATGTATGTGGACGGCGTCGACGATACTCTATTTGTGCAGCGCAACGCACCAAGGACCTTATGGGTTCGGGGCCCCTTTTTTTCGCCCTCCCGATCGGGATGCTGACCCATCTGTTGACCCCTTTTGTGTGCCCGCCCTCCTCATCTCCGCCTCATAGGTGCCCTCGGCGCCCTAGGTCCTTCCTGCCACCCAGCACCGGAGGACGCCATCTCGGTAGCCGCCGGCGGCTTGGCGGTACTGGGAGCGGCGGCGCTGCCGTACGCAGCTGACGCCTTGACGCAATACCTGGTGGGACACTTAACCGCCACCTCATCCCTTGACTAGCACGGCTGAGGTTTTCCCACATGCAGACTACATTCTTTGGCCAGCATACGCGCATGGGGGATTGTTTGCTTCCCTGTCGCAACAAGCAGCCATCCGCACCCCTTTTGGATCAGCCATGTGGACTCGAAAGAAATTGTGTGTGCCGAACTAAATGTATGTAACAAGCTGAAGACCGAGCTCTCCTGACTCTTCACCCCACCAGCCCTTGATGCCCCTTTTCGTGAACACCGCGCAACACAACACGCCGGCGTGTTTTTCGACATGAATGGGACATCGACCCTCTCCCTCCTCCATCTCCATCTCCACCCACACGTACCCACATTCTCTCAATCGTTCCCCTTCTCGCCCTCCTTTTTTCCCTGTATCCCTGGATATCGGTACTTAACACCTCGCAGCCTCTTGCATGCAACACCTCCCCCGTCACCCTCCCACCAACGTACGCCGCGTGTGTGCGTGGGTCGGCTGATTACCCTGCTGCCGCCGCCTCAGGCTCCGCGCAAGTGCCGCTGCTGCTATGGCGCCGGCTACCTGCCTTGCCCTACCTGCCACGGTCGCGGCAAGCTGGGTGGCTGTCTGGCAGGGCTGGAGCTGCGGCGCTGTGAAGGCTGCGAGGGCCGCGGCCGTGTGCGCTGCGAGCCGTGTCGCCACACGGGTCTGGCCAACCACTGGCTCTGGTCGCCCGCTGGGGACCCCGGCTGGGGAGCTAGGGGATCGTAGTGGGGGCTGGCGGTGCTGGGTTCGTTGGGGTGGTAGCGGTGGTGCAGTAGGAGGTGGTGGTTAGACAGCATATGGCACCTGGAACTAGCTATAAAAGGAGTTCTAGGAAAGGCGGTAGGGAGTTCGGTCGTCGTAGGCAGGTGGAGGGTGTGAAGCGTAGTTAGGGGTAAGAAGATAGCGGGGGCGGGGACAAGTTGGGTGGTTTTTAGGGGGTTCATTCGGCATCTGTTTTTTTGGTGTTGTGTGTTTCGTATGGTATTTAGTCCGCTCGGTATAGTAGCACAGGCCAAGGGTTGAAGCGGGGTGAACGGCGGGACGCCTGGCTACGTGTGTTATGCCGTAAAGTAAAATGGTGAATGGTTCAAGAAGTGGGGGTGATAAGGCGCACAGACGGGGTGGTGTTTTTCCGAAATGCTGAAAAAGGGTTTTTAGGGTTGAAATGGGCTAGGAAGGTTGTTCTTGTTTTACGGAGTTGAAATCCGGGTTCGGATTGGATGCCCCGCGCAGGCAGGCAGGTGGGCATGTGCAGGACCTTCAGGATCACCAATGCGCTCAACAGCAGCTGTCCTTCCTCCGCTTCTTTGGGGGGAAGGACCGCGGTCTCTCGAGGGAGAGCGGCGTTGCTACCACTGCACGTACTATTCCTACCACATCTGCTCATACGCTTACACATGCTTCTACTCCTGCATCTTGCTTTTGCTCATTGTGCGTCTATGGAAATAAACAGTACAGACCGCTCGGTAAACAGTAAATACACTTCGCCTGGAAAAACAGCCACAATAAAGAGCAACAACAAGAATACTGGAAGCACCACTGCGATAATGCCCCGATCCTATGCGATGCCTGCTAACCCAACACACCTTGAAGACCTCAACCTGTGACATGAGAGGACAAATCTGGACAGGTCAAGCACAGGCCAAAAAGTCTTGCTCACTAGCTACGACGTGGACTAGGACGTGGGCTAGGACTGGGGAATCAAGGATTCTCAAGGGCAGCACGCTTCTGACCATCCGGGCCGGTGGTCCACCTGTGCACTCGGAGGGCGCAAACCCGGGGGACACAGCCCGTGCCAACACCACCGCTACCGCCGCCGCTACCGCCGCCGGCCGACACCCTGATGAGCCGCAACGGCGGGACCGCCTCCCCCGCGCCACCACCAACACTGCCGTCGCCCAAGCCACTCGGCACTCGCAACTCCGCCAGCAGTCGCGCCAGCAGTGCCCCCGGCTCCTCCGAGGCGTCCCGCTCGAACAGTAGCCCACGTATCACTCGCCTGCATCGCTTCTGCTGCAGCTGCTGCGACGTTTCTCCGTGCCCAGACCCAGCCGCCGCGCGGCGCTGAGGCGATGCGCTCTCACTATCCGAAATCCTGCCGTTCGCTTTGGAGTCCTTGCCCGCTCCGGAACCGAGCCCAAAGCCGCAACGGCTCCACAGCTCCTCAGCCAGGTAGGCGGCTGTCACGTAGGCGTAGCCCTGGCCTGAGGCGGAGGCGATGCGCTGGACGGCGTGCAGCTGCGAAGGGGCGATGGGTAGCGACGATGGCTCATGAACGCGCACAAGCCTGCACCATAGCATGGTATGCAGAGGCGTACGCACGCACATGCACGCATATATCCATGCATGCTCGTATACGTACACACACGCGGAAATGCAACGCGACGGATACCCTGCTATAGCCTTTGTGTGCAGTTAGCAGCACCGGCGGGATATTTCGTGTGGGATATCCATCCTGAACCATCGTCCACACATCAGAAGCAAGCGTTAAATGTATGACGTCCAAAGAGGAGGGCCGGAGGGAGGAAACTGGAGTGCCTGCGCCTCCTCTGGGTGCGGTCCCGAGGGCGAGCTTTAATGATCTGAGGGAAATGCGATAAAGGAAACGCCAAGGAGGACTACGAGGGGAAACTCAGACCCCCTGGAGAACCCAGACAATTCACCTGCATTGGACCCGTAGTTCGTTATACGGTCCGGTGTGTTCGTTCTTTACGTGACACACGCCCAAAGCTCGTGTTTCCCAGCCCCTCCCGGCTCACCTGTTGCACGGTATATTGCACCGGCAGTGAGGGCGCAAAGGTGGCTAGCAGCTGGGGCCACAGCCGTGTGACCAGGTCGGGTGAGTTGCGTGGGGAACTTAGCAGCAGCTGGTCTAGCAGGGACCACAGCACCTGCTGGGGGTGGTGGGGGCCAAGCAGGAGAGCGGCGGAAGGGAGGGTGTGGGAAGAGGGGATGGGAGAAGAAAAGAGGACGCGGATGAGGAAGATGGGAGGAGGGCATTACACATGTGCAAGATTTTAACTGGCAATGCATCCAAGCAGCGACGCAAACCAAGAGGAGGAGGAGGAGGAAGGGGAAGGGGAAGAAAAGAAGGTTGCCTAGTTAAGACACTGGGCGTGGCTTTACGAGGAAGAGGGAGGGTGTGAGATTTGCGTAACCATCTAGCAGGCCCCTTTTTCCTCTCTCTCTCTCTCTCTCTCTCTCTCTCTCTCTCTCTCTCTCTCTTGCTCTTTCTCTTCCGCACTGCTCCCGCACCATCTTACCTGCACCTGGACACTGATGGGGCTGTAGTACGACAACCGTACGGCACGGGCCAGCGCGCGGCACACCTCGCCCGGCGGCGCTTGGCCGGTGGTGACGTGTCTGTGTTGACGATCAAGGTGAGGTGAGGCGGGTGGAAGCGGAATGGCCAGTGAAGCCTGGATGTTGCCTTCGCGCATGTTTACAAGCGCGCACGGGTCAGATAGCATGGACCGTATCCCAGTCCATCTCGCGACCAAACTCCTGCAGGGTTTAGAAACCTAGCGCCACTAAGCCCCGCCCCGCCCCGCCCCGACCCGTCCAGCCCCTACACTACGGAACCTCATTTACAATTACGCAACTCCACTCCACGACACGACACGACACGACACGAACATTACACTACTAACCCACGCTACGCCAGGTCACCACCAACCACACCACACCACTACCCCGTTGCCGGTTCCCTGTTTAATGATACCTGCAGCGAGACATAATGGCCTCCACTACCTCCTCCTCAGCAGCAGCTCGCTCCAAAAAGGACGACGGTAGCTCAACCAACTCCAGGGGCAGCTGGTACGGCAGCAGGGCATGACTCAGCCGCCGCCACCGCCGCCGCCCCTCCACCGCTTCAGGTGCAGCTGCTGTCCCACCCGAGCCTGGGCAGAGCTCCGCGGGTCGAGACGGCTGCAGCGGGTGGTGCGCCGCCGCCAGCAGGAAGTGCAGCGCGTGGCCCAGCTCGTGGAGCAGCTCCCACACCACGAACTCCGACCCACGGGTCAGTATCGACCCGCCCACGCAATTGCCGCATGCCCCGGCGCCACCGACGCCGACACCGGATTGCAGCCCTACCACCACCGCCGCCACCACTCCGCTTTCCCCGGCACCGCCGCCACTGCCATCCGCCGCAGCAGCCCCCAGCGGAGACAGCAAATACCGCGTGCCAAAGCCCCCTAAAGTGTCGACGAGCAACCAACGGACCTGGGCTGCCGGAGGGCGCACTGCCTCCTCTGCCGCTGCCGCCGCCGAGGCCTCCTGCCATGGCTGCCCACGGCTCAGCCCCACCTGAGGCCCATCCAAACAATCTGCCTCTCCTTCTACCAGCAACCGGTACGCATAAAAGCGACGCGGCTCCCTCGCGGCTGCCTCTCGCACCGCGCCAAGCGCCATGGCATGGTGATCAGGCTGTAGGTCACCGGCGCCTCCGTCCCCTGCACCGTTGTAGTACGTTGCGAGTTCGCCTAGCATCACCTCGATGTCGTACGGTACTGGAGGCGGCGAGCCGCCGCTGCTGCCTCCCGCGGCGGCACCAGCCTGATCCGGAGCGGTTGCGCCGTCGTTGAAGTGGATGGGTCCCTGCCGTACACATGTCGTACAACCCCGGCCTCCGCCGCCAGGCCGCCGGAGCTCCAAACCCATGAACTCTCCAAGCCAATCAGAGATACCCTCCATGAGCGGTTCAAGGTCGGTTAGGTACAACGCAGCCACGTCAGCAAAACTGGGGGTGTTGGCGCCGTCGGCGCCGAAACAGGCGTCGCGTGCCATGGCGGCGGCGGCTTTGGCGACAAGGCCCTCGTCGTTGGCGGCGACGGCGGCGGCGGCGTCAACAGGGTGGATTTCCGAACTGCCGCCCCAGGCCTGGGCACGCAGCACGTATTCGAAGCTGCTGCTGTCCACACCGATTGCGCCAGGACCTGCAATGCGTGCAAGCTGCTGCAGCTACGCGCAGCGGCAGGAGGAAGAGAGAAGAGGCAGCGGCGGCGGCGGAGGAGGAGGAATTCGTAGCGGGAGGAAGTGGCGAAGGCGGCGGATATCCAAATCTCAATCTAGGCCTCCCGTTCTTCCTCTCACACCGCCCCGACGAGCCCCTCTCACCTCCTCTCGCGTAAAACACAGAGATGTAAATCCTAGGCGTGTGCGGAAGAGATGACGGGTAGGGGTAGGAGTACAAGTACCATTGCCGCTACGGCGGGGCCGGCGGCGGCTACATGCCAGATGTACGACGGCCGGCAGCGGGCGGCCGTCCTCAACCCATGCTGATCTTGGACATGTGAAGCGCATCACACCCATACCACCATATGGGAAAGGGTAGGCAAATGCTTCTACGACATTAGCTGCTTTTCCAGTTCACAACAGCTCAGCAAGCTCCCGCCGCACGGGACCGCATCACAAGCACATCACATCAACACAGCACCACCAAGGTGCCAATCCCTAATCAACGACCCCAACTACTCTACTTTGCAGCAACTACCTGCTCCGAAACCAGGGGCTCCAGCACCTCCGCCAGCGACGTTAGGAATGCGGCCGCCGCCTGGCCGTCCCGCGCCAAAGTGTCCAGATGGGCAAGGCGGCTGTAGCCCGCAGCGGCGCCGCGGCCGCCATTGCAGAGCGCTGGCAGCAGCAATCGCCGTCGCTGATGCTCCCGGGCCGACGATGCTTCCGGGCCACTGCCAGCACCACCGCCTCCGCCGTTGGCAACGTCGTCGTACAGGCCGTACAGGGAGGCTTGCTGGGCGCGCAGGTCGCGCATGCGCTGCAGGAGGCGCAGTGTGTGACTTGCCAGCGGCACGATGCCCTCCTCATAAACCTGTGGGAGCGTGCGTGTGGCGACCGGGTTGGAGTTCAAATGTCGGCAGGCCAATCTCCAAGGCGAGATGCGTTGACTGACCGACAGACCGCTGTGGTGGATACCAAACGGAACGGAGCCTTGTATGCTGCCCACGGTTTCCACAGGCACTATCACTATGGCATAAGAAGGTCGTTAACCGACTGGTTAGCTATAATCCAACCGACCGCTTTAGTAGGGTACTCGACATTTCGAGCTAACGACCCTGTAGCCGACCGACCGGTAACTTTATTGGTCGGTTACCTTACCGACCAGTAACCTTACCGGTTGGTGAACACTCACAGTTACTGGGTCGTTAGCTCGTCATGTCGATTACCCTTGGCTTTACAAGTGCAGAGGAGCAACTGCCTCCCAGCCAGCACAGTAGCACGCAGCAGCTCAGCAGGCAGGTCTGGTCGTTTCACATGACCAGGTGTAGACAAGGCACTTCTTATGCATGGTTACCCTTTCCAATACATTCCATTACGGTCAACCGTGTTTTTGTCCCGGCCGGTAACCGGTTGGTAGGGTAGCCTATCGGTGGGGTAACCCATCGCTAAGGTGAAGGCCGGTAACTCCTCGGTAACCCAACCGAGGCCCCACCCTACCTAACGACCAGTTGGGCCCGGTGACCGATCGGTGACCGACCGGTCGAATGCATATATGCCATAGGGTATGCTGTTCGCGGTTTTCCACACACACACGCCACGTATGCTGTTCACGATTTTCTACCAGCACTGGAAACCGGCTGTGCCGTGCTGTGCTGTGCGCAGTGCTATCACGTCACGTCACGCCACGGCGCATCTCCTCTCCCTTCCCCAGCCACCTGCTGTCGGAGCACCGGATCAGAGTGGCGCTGCAGCAGAGCGCCACATGCGTCCAGCGTCAGCGTCAGCAGTAGCGCATCACCGCCGTCACCATCGCCGCTCTCGTCCGCATGGCCGCCACGCCGCCGAAAACCTCGCTGCGCCGCCACCACCTTCGCCAGTACTACATCCTCCACCAACTCCTCAGCCGTCAGGTCGTACACTGGCCAGTCGTACGTCAGCAAGGGTCCATCGAGGTTAACCGGCCACGGGCCGCCCGGGGGTGGTATTGGCGCCACTGAGCCACCACCGTCGGCCTGGTCGATGCCAGCTGATGATGCCAGTTGGTGCCTCAGCACCGACAGCACGTAGCGCTCCTGGCGGCGTGCATCTGTCACCATCGTTGCCTTCTCCTCCAAGCTCAGCGCTATAGAGTAGGCCGTCTGCGGGTCGACCGGGTGGTAACCTTCACGTAGAAAGCGCGGCGCCAAAGCGGCAAACACCCGCCAGACCCACGGGTCGGAATCCACCACTGAGCCGTTATCTTTGTCGCTGTAGCCGGCGGCGCCGCCGCCGCCACCGCTGTCATCCGCGTTGGCGTCCGGCGGCGGCAGAAGCGCGCCGTACGTGCGGGGGTCATTGAGAAGCGCGTCCTCGAGGGAAGCGGCCTCTGCCATGAGCTGTAGCATTGCCTCAATGCTCTCACGTGAGCTGCTGTACATTTGGACGAGCGAGGCGCAGGAGCGGACGTCGGCGGCTGCGCCGAGCAAGGAGTCTAGGGAGGCCAGCAGCTGCTGCCACAGCACGTCGACGGAGGCCCGCGACGCGCCGCCACGTGTGGCGTGAGCTGTGCCGGCGCTGTAGATTGCATTTACCAGGCCTTGAACTTGGGCTGCAAACTGGTTGAGGTGCTGTAGGGTGCTCTGACGGTCCCCTACGCCTAGGGCAGGCCTCGGCAACGACCTGGGCCCCCGATAACCGGCAATGGACTGATGGGGTGATATCTGTTGAAGGATAGAGTTCCCACGCCATCCCGCCGGGACTTTCCTTCTGACCGATTTGGTGGAATGAATTAGTTGGGTCGTTAGGAACGGTTTGTGAGAATTTCCATGTGTTCTCATTTCTATAATCAAGCGAAATGCCGAAGGGGTTTAGTCAAAGAAATTAGGTCCTGCGGCTCTAGCATGGGACGAACAGTCTCACGTAAGTCGCGCGTGCCAACAAGTTTATGATCAAACATATTTGATCAAACGTGCATTTCAACATTAAACATTTATACGGACGGACAGCTCACTAGGTATCCTTTTGCAACCTTAGCTTCGTCAGTCTGAGATTGAAAAAAGCAAGGTTTCCTCATCCGTCTACCTTAGGAGAACTGAAAGTGCGGTACTCCTTTTTCGTTAAGAGCATAAAGCTAAAGCAAAAGGAGGGCAGCGGCGGGGTCGGCGGGCACCCGCTTGGATAGCTCCGCAGCCCCGCAGCACCCTTCCATCGACCGTAAGCTACAGACTACTTAGGCAGGATGTATGGAGCTGATGAAGACCACATGGAAGTGGCCCAGGAGGACGAGGGCGACGACGAGATTGTACAGGAGGACTCGTGGAACGTTATTACAGCTTTTTTCGATGACAAAGGACTTGTGCGTCAGCAGCTTGACTCCTTCAACGAGTTCGTCAATGTAACAATTCAGGAAATTATCGATGAGACACCTGAGATAGTTATCAAGCCTGAATCTCAGCACCTGCCGGGGGTTGAAGCTCATGAGGAAAAGGAGTACATCATCAAATTTGGTCAAGTGTACCTCAGCAGGCCTCAGATCACAGAGCAGGACGGCGAGTCGGTGGTCCTGTTCCCCAAGGAGGCCCGCCTCCGTAACCTGACGTAAGACACCGTGTCAGACGCGGACAAATTACGGGGGCATGCGTGCGAACTTGCAGAGATAGGTGTTTAGGCGGAACATTTTGTAAAGGCGTCGTCAGGAGGAAATCCTTGTCACCGGGGCCCGGAGGTTGCAGGTTTCCCAGGCACTCTCGTAGCTTTGTTTCCATCCCCCGGCCCATTTTCCATCCCCAACTCGGCACACCCCCACGCGTCTACACGTTGCAGATACTGCGCCCCGCTCTATGTGGATGTCACGAAGACCGAGTACACGCGGCAGGCTGACGACACGGTGGAGGAGAAGCAGGAGACTCTGTCCCATGTGCACTTGGGCAAGGTGCGTGCAGCACCAAGGTGTTGGGCTATAGCGAACGGGTCAATGTGCAAGGGACTGGGAGGAGAAGGCTTAGGGTAAATCGCCAAACGCGGCCCCACCCAACTAGGGACATTGCCGGGGGCTCATGCGTAGGACAGAGAAAACACCCCTCCTATCCCTAGAGTGAGTCGCCGTTCTCACATACGGTAGGCCAGCTCGGTATATGCATCCATCTTTGGAATGCCTGGTTTGACGCACAATACAGTGCAGCGGTATCTGGGACAGTGCTGAAAACGAGACAAGTCGGCAAGGAAGCGGTACACCCTTGTCATCTCACGTCATGCAGATGCTTGAATTGGGTGTTAGTACCTCCGGGGGGGGAAGGACCAGTGCCAACCCGGCACTTGGTGGCCAATGGGGGTAAAGGGGAAACTGTTGCAATCGACACGGGCTAGCTGCATGCGCTTGCTGAGGTATAGTTATCCACACGCCTGGATGGTTCTGATGCTTATCTCTCGAGCCTAGATTGGCCATTCGTTGCTTTAACCAACCCTGCATGGAACGGGCAACAGGGGTTTCGTAGCGCTGGCCGATTCAATCGCCGGGCAGTCGGCACGCGCGGCTTATTGCTGATGGCAGCTCTAACGTTTATGGAAGAATTAGCTGCTACCGCTGAGGTCTTGCTGGCTACGCCCTGGCCACTATATGCATGGCACCCCGGCGCGACGTTGTGCTCCAGCTGCCAGTGCTCACAGTTACCTTGAGGTGCCATGGCCAGCAGCGGCCGGCGCACGTTTGTCTGTCGTGTTAAAAGGGAGCCCGTGTTGTTCTTCCATGAAGGTCCCGTATGCTCGTGTGAAGGCTTTTTACTGCTGTGGTTTTGGCTTTTTGGTGTGTGTATATTTTTTTGTAGGTTCCCATCATGCTCAAGTCGGAGCGCTGCAATCTTCACGAGGCGGCTACGGAGCAGGAGGCCACCAACCTGGGCGAGTGCCCCTACGACCAGGTGCGTTGTGCGTTGGTGCGAGAGATTGGTGCGGGAGAGGGAGGTGAAAATGCAACAAGCAGCGGCGGCATCGCCATCGCTGCAGGGGCTTGACTGGGGAACGGTGGGTGATAATGTCGAGACGACACGCGTGACGACGCAGTGCCCGTAGGAGGTAGCTGTCTTGCGGTGGAGGAGGAGCTTGTGAGCAATGCAGTCTGTAATACATGGGTTATGGAGGGAAAGACACAAATTACGTCCCTGGAGGCGTGCACGTGCGGCCTGTACGTAATGATTGGATTGGGCGGCAGATGGGCGGGTTGGGCGCAGGTTAAAAGGGCTTTGCAAGCGCAGGTTGGGGTGCAGCTTCCATCAGTTACCTTAACTTTTCGTCGCAGTCCATTAGGTCATTCGCACATGTAGCAGCTTGCGACCACCATCATCGCATCACGTCCGCGACCACTTGCCACCGTGGCCGCCGATGCTGACGACGTCCGGCACGGTTCCGGCTGATGCTTCGTAGGGTGGTTACTTCGTCATCAACGGCAGCGAGAAGGTGCTCATCGCGCAGGAGCGCATGGCCAACAACCACGTGTATGTGTTTAAGAAAAGTCAGCCGAGCAAATATACCTTTTGCGCGGAGATCAGGTGCGTCGGGAACCCCAGAAATTCAAGCGTGGGGCTTGGGCTGTAAACACACAACATTGGCAGAGGTTCGTTTCATGTCCTGGAACCTTGACCTGGACTGGCCTTCCTACAGGCCTTCCTTTCATCCCAGTGCAAGTGGCCTTATATGAACACCATCAACCCCGTACACGTCCGCAACTTCATAAATGGACATGAGACAGCGATCAGCGAGCACTTCTTTTGATTTGGATGCTGCTAGACGCTGTCTTAGCCCTTTGCCAAGTTTGCCGCGGGAGGCTATTTGCATTTTCGGATATCATCCTACACCCCAACTCACCCCATCCTTTTGCAGCTGGTCCTTGGGATGTCGGCAGTTGATTGCTTGCCTTTCGCCTCTTCAGGTCGGTGGTTGAGGGCTCCACCCGTTCCGCGTCCTCCATGTCGATCATGATGTTGGCCAAGGGCAAGAAGGCCGGCGCTGCGGGCGTCATACGCGCGCAGATACCCTACATCAGAGCAGAGTTCCCCATTTTCATCCTGTTCCGGGCACTGGGCTTTGTGGTGCGTGGGCTTGCAAACTGGGCTGTGGGGTTTAGTGGAAAGCGCTGTAGGAAAGGGGCATCCTCTTCGGGGCCGTGTCCTTTGTGATGTACATATGTATGTATTACCGTAGGGAGCCCGAGATCAGACCGTTTTGTGATGTTAACGGGGTTGTGAAGGGCGCAATGGACGGTCGGGCAGAGGAAACAGCCACAAACCCGGATGGAAAGCAGCTGCCGAAACGCACCTGGGGATGCAAGGGCGTCGCGTAGGTGGCTGCACCTCCTCTCTGGAAATCGGGCGTCTGGGGCGTCTGGTACCCCAATTGGTGCTTCCTATCTATATCCGACCCGCCGAAGCTCGTTCAAACCACACCCACACCCACACACAACTGGCGGGCCATAGTCCGTTTCCAGTCGGCTGCCTGTCCTCATTCCACAATTTTGTTGACCATCTTGCACACCATGTTTTTTGCAATGCAGTCCGATCGGGACATTTTGGAGCACATTGTGTACGACCTGGATTCAGATCCGGCCATGCTGGAGGCCCTAAGGGCTAGCGTGGAGGAAGCGCAGGAGGTGCAGACTCAGGAGGAGGCGCTCAACTACCTGGGCAAACGTGGAACTGTCACCGGCGCCAGCAAGGTGACAAGAGACGGGCCCAGGAGTATAGCTTGAGGAGGGGTTAGCTAATGGAAAGGATGGAAGGCGGGACATGCATAGTGTGCGTGTGGGAGGGGAGGAGAACCCAGGAAGGCGGCGGATGTTGACTGGGTACTTCTTAACGGAAAGAAGGGCGCGAGGTATCTCCGCTTTTTTACGTTACTGACCCTCCCACCTCCCTGCGCCCGTACCCTTATGCCCCTGGGCTGTAAACGATCCCTTAACCCAGGCCGATCGCATCCAGTACGCCCGCAACCTGCTAATCAAGGAGCTGCTGCCGCACCTGGGCACTGAGGAGTTCATGGAGACACGGAAGGGCTACTTTGTGGGTTATATGGTGCACAGGTGGGGAGGGGCCTAGGATGGGGTTTATGTCCTTTCAGGTGCGCGCTAGGCGCGGGATAAAGTCGGAGTGAAGTGGGGGCGTGGATCACGGTTTTGGGGACGCGGTGGATAGGTGTATGGAATTGCGTGGCGTTTGGAAACTGGCATTGTTCCAGTCGGTGCAGGAATGCCGCTCCTTGTTTCTATTCCTATCTTTCCATCCCACGCATCTCTACCAATCGCACACCGTGCCGTAACCCCTGCCTGCCTGCTGGGCTCTTCCTGGCTCCCGTTGGCTGATACCGCGTTGCTCTGACTCAGGCTGATGCTTGTGGCCCTGGGCCGGCGCCCCGAGGACGACCGTGACCACTACGCCAACAAGCGGCTGGACCTGGGTGGGCCCCTTATGGCCGGGTTGTTTCGGTTGCTTTTCCGCAAGCTTTGCAAGGAGCTGCGCATGCATGCGCAGAGGATGGTGAGTGCAGGCAGGCAGGGAGGATTAGGGTGGCAAAGTCGCCGGCTCAGGCCAGGGGATTAGGATGCGGGCAGAGGATGGAAAATATTAAGGCGATCGGATTCTGCCATGAAACATAGGAGGATGGGATGCAGGGGAGAATGGAGTAAAGGAGGCAAGGGCTATCGGTTCGGCTGGCCAGCCGGTTAGCCAAGGGGTTGGGAGGCATGGGAACACTTGACTTCAAGTCGAACCCTGGTTTTGGTTTTCCTTTTCCTGACATTAGGTTGACGCCGGCAAGGAGATTAACGTGCTGTCCGCGATTAACGAGAAGATCATCACCCGTGGCCTCAAGTACTCGCTGGCCACTGGCAACTGGGGCGAGCAGGGCAAGCAGGGAATCAGGGCAGGTACGCAGAGGGACGGCTGGCAGTGTGTGGGGTGTTTTGTGGGATTGGAGGAGGTACTATTAAGGCAACACCGGGACCTTCAGAGGATATGAATGCGAGTAAAGGGAGAAGTAGAGGAGCCGAATTTGGCGCCGAAGGGTTCAACTGGGCCTAAGTGACGTTTGGACAGCCTACCATGGCTTTTGACTATTAACTTTCCGTGAACTTAAACTACTGTAGGTGTGTGTTGGATTTTGTGGGGGTTTCCACGCCGGACATGATATCCTACCCGTCTTCGTTTTTCCGCGTCTGCCTTCTTTCCTTTTTAAACCACACCTGAGCTTTTCATACCCCACCTCTCCCGTTGCTTGCTTGCGCGAAGGTGTGAGTCAGGTGCTCGCCCGTCTGACTTATGCCTCCACGCTCAGCCATCTCCGCCGCGTCAACTCGCCCATTGGTCGCGAGGGCAAGCTGGCCAAGCCTCGGCAGCTGCACAACAGCCTCTGGGGCATGTTCTGTCCCGCGGAGACGCCCGAGGGCCAGGCGGTGGGGCTGGTCAAGAACATGGCGCTCATGTGCTACATCACCGGTGGGTGTAGACCTTCTGAGGGAGATGTACATGTGTGGCAAGCTGCGAGAGGAGCCAGGGTTGCCTTTTTGAGTCGTCGGGCAGTAGGACATCTATGTTGGAAATTGCGGGGAATAGTAGTGTGTGCAGGATGCCAAACGGTTCCCTTCGTGGAGTTCTGGTTCCCTGCATGTGTACATGTGACATCATCTATGCATGTTTCATACGATTCCTGCTTCCTTTCCTCCCTTCCGTCAAGTAGTTTTGATTTATTTGCGATTCTTTGCATGTGTGAATTCTGGGGACCCCTGTTGTGCTTTGGGGTTTGGGAGTTGACCCTTTCCCTCTCTCTCCCAATGATCCCACCATCCTCCTGCAGTGGGTACGCCCTCCCTGCCCGTGGTGGCGCATCTGGAGGAGTTCAACACGGAGGCTCTGGACGAGGTGACACCAGCAGACATTGCGGCCGCCACCAAGGTAGGAACGAAGGGCGGAGCGGCACGAAGGAAGCACGCGGCGTGGCCAGAGCATCGCGCGTGTAGGCCGAAGCTTACGATTTCGGAACTGTGTTTACGTGGACAGAAGGGTTGTGGCAGAGGCGATGGAGTGTGTTCCAAGGCTGCGATCATCGCGCTGCTCTGCCAACCCTGCCATGTTCCTTTTTGCCCGCCGCCCCTTTTGTCCTCTGCGTTTTCCCCGGTCATGCTTTCTCGCGGCAGTCCCCTTTCCTGCCATTCTCTTACAGCCCGTATTTCTGCGCCTCTTTTTCTGCCAGGTGTTCATCAACGGTGTGTGGCTGGGCATCCAACGTGACCCCACAGCGCTCATCAAGAACCTGAGGGCTATGCGTCGCCAGGTGGCATTCAGTACGGAGGTGAGCTTTGCTCCCGCTGTCAAGTCAAGCTGCCGCTGTTCGCCTTAAAACCTTGCCAGCACTTCTGTTTTCCCTTGACTCAGCAAATCACGGTTTGTGCCTTGATCAGGTCCTTTTGTACAACCCGTTTCGAGTTTTCATTTTCGCGACAAATGTGCACAGTGTGTCTCATACTTGTCCTTGACACCGCCTTCAAACCTACTCGGCGTGAACGTGACGTGCATCTCGAACGTAACATTTTACCCTCGTCTTCTTCCTTTCCCTCCGTCTGTTGTTTTTGATTCTCTTTTATCCTCTCTCTGCGCTTTGCGACTTCTCCTAGCCTCTCCCTTCTCCCTTCTTTTTCCTTGGCCATGCTTCCCTCTCCACGATGCCCAGGTGTCCATCATCTACGATGGTCCTCTGAAGGAGCTGCGCATCTTCACCGACTACGGCCGCACCTCCCGGCCGCTCTATATTGTGGAGGACAACCGGCTGCTGGTTACCAAGAACCACATCCGCCGCCTTATCTCACCGCTGCCTGACGAGGAGGAGTACGCCTGGCCGCAGCTGGTGCAGGACGGCCTTGTAGAGTGAGTGCAACGTATCTGTTCAAAGCTTGTTCTTCCGCTCTCTCCTCGCAGGGCCAATTGGGGCATTGGGTGGTGATCCAGGTGACGATTTCTGCATTATGGAGGTTTGGGACAGAGATCGACAATCGAGGGGGTTATAGAGGGTTGTGGAGGGCTATGGAGAGATTGGGGGCTAGGGGAATTTTGTTATTTTGGGCTCTCATGCCACCTCTCTGTCCCACAGGTATATTGACGCGGAAGAGGAGGAGACGACTATGATAGCCATGACCATCGCCGACCTGCGTAACGCCCGCGAGGCGGGCTCCGCCACCGGCACCACCTACACGCATTGCGAGATTCACCCCGCCATGATCCTGGGTGTCTGCGCCTCCATCATCCCCTTCCCCGACCATAACCAGTCGCCCCGCAACACCTATCAGGTGGGCCAGTTTGATTGCTTGTGTGCATCCACGTGCGTAGGGAAGCTGTAGGCCTGGCCCGACCGGGCGACTCTTGCTTGCCTGGCATAAGCCATTCAATTCCTGGTGTTTTTCCTCCTTTCCTTCCGCTTCCCGGTGGCTCCGGAAGCGCACTTACCCAATTGCTCTTATTGAACGCCCCCCTGGGACTGCCGGTTGTCTTGGTCGCGTCTGCATGTGGGCCATCCTGGGCATTTCCTAAACGTTGTGCCGATCCCTTCCCGTCTACTGCCATCGCCTCCTTTTCAGAGCGCCATGGGCAAGCAGGCCATGGGGATGTACGCCACGAACTACCAGACGCGCATGGACACGCAGGTGGGGCAGTGAGGTAGTGGGGTTCAACACGAGACGATGTAGGAGGATTCACGTTATGCTCTTGTATGGGTTGGGGCTGGCCGTGGTTGCAGAGCCGTCTCAAGTGTTAAGGATAACCAACCTACTGGAAGCTAAGTTAGCACGCGCCACCCTCGGCACCCTCACCTTGGCAGGGCCGCCTCCGCACCTTTCCTTGGTCTCCCCTCGGTGTGGTTTGAACACTTCTCCCTTCCCTTTCGCCTGCGCTTTCCCTCCCAGGGTTTCGTGCTTTACTACCCCCAGAAGCCGCTGGTGTGCACCCGCGCCATGGACTACCTCAAGTTCCGGGAGTTGCCTGCAGGTAAGGGATGGCAGGGTAGATCACTTGTGGGAGGACGCGTAGGAATGCATGTATTCCCGACGGCGTTTAGACTAGAGGAGTCAGGGAAGGCGCGCAGAGGTTGGACAGCGAGAGGGTTTTTCTGCTGTGACGCTGTGCTGCTTGTGTCCCTCTGTTGGATAACGGCATGCGAAGGACGAACATGGGATTCAAGGGCCCTAAAACCCATCTAAACTCCTGTAAAACGCTCAACCCCGCTTCAGGCATCAACGCCATCGTGGCCATCATGTGCTACAGTGGCTACAACCAGGAAGACTCCCTCATGCTGAATGGGTCGTCTATTGACCGGGGCTTCCATCGCTCCATCTTTTACCGCGCGTACAAGGAGGAGGAGAAGAAGGCCGGCAGCCTCTCCAGGGAGGAGATTGAGGCGCCAGACCCGGTGGTTACGGCCAAGATGAAGCACGGCACGTACGACAAGCTGGACGCGGACGGGCTCTGCCCACCTGGTGGGTCGGCAATAAGTGGGCAGGACATCTGGAGATTGGGAGAGTTTTTGTTGTTACGGAGTGGGAGGCTTCTGGGCCCATGGAACACATTTGGATTGTCCTATCTCGGATTGAACTCCGTACAGCACCGTCCACCATTACCGCACTGTACTGTACGCCATACGAACTGGAAGTCCAAAGCGGTTGATTCTGCCATCTAGAATTCTCATCATCATGTCACTCGAACATTCGTAGAGACAGAGGGTTCAGCAATCGATACCAATCCAGCGTGCGAATCTCGGTCCATCAACTGTGACCTCTAACTCCACATCTCAGCAGCTAGCCATAATCTCACGCCATGTCGAGGGTCTACCCATGAATCGAATCCAGGACCTTAAGCCGCAAAATGCAGTAGCGAATCTAGACCAGGGCGAGATGTAGACTTCCCGCAGTTCGTTTGAAGCTGAAACTTCTTTCTCGATCCGTTTTAAAAAGTAGTTCCTTTCGCGCCACGCCGCGTTGCGCCGGGTCACGTCACTCAAACGCCGTGTCATGCCTTTTTGGCGACCTTCTGACACCCCTCCCTCGCTCCTCCCGTGCCCCCAGGCACCCGCGTGTCCGGGGAGGACATCATTTGCGGCAAGACCGTCACGCTGCCGGATGATCCCACGGGGGCGGTGCAGCGCTTCACCAAAAAAGACGCCTCACTGGCGCTGAGGGGGCACGAGGCGGGAGTCATTGACCAAGTGCGTGGGGTCTCTGTGGGTGTCCTACTGTCCATGCCCTTCAGAACAGCCCTGAACCCAACAAATGTTTCTTCCGCCCCAACGGTCGTCCGACACCCCGGACGGAAACATGTTCTTAATGTGGTTGTGTGTGGGTCTCACGGCACCTAACTATCCGGACGGCCCTTCATTATGCAGGCAGTCCGGCTGATGCGTGCCGCAGAATAAGTGAGGGGAGCATAACCCTCTTTCCGCACGTTTTTATCTGCCTCTCGGCGGCGTACACGGCAACGCCGTCCCAGCACCGCCTAGGGGTTAAAACGCCGTGCGACATGAGTCGCACACCCTGCAGTGACGTTGTGTCACCACCACGTTTGGCGTGATGGTGATTGTGATTGTGATGGTGGTCGTGATGACCATGGTTCAGACACCCACGGCAGTTCGCTAGAATCTGGAGGAAGATTATTTTGTCACCGTTGCGACCGGTGGGGTCGATGCTCCCCCGATCACCACCCTCTCCACGTGCTTTTTGCGTATTGCACTGCCTCCTTCTGGCATTTGCGTATTTTCTTTATCCCGGTCCGTCCCATTGTTCTGGCTGCAGGTGATGTTGACGACCAACGACGAGGGTCAAAAGTTCGTCAAGATTCGCGTGCGGACCATCTGCATCCCGCAGGTACGGGTTGTGGGGTGCATGCACATGTGTACGTATTGACCGGAAACTGCGCTGTTGGCAGGAAATTGTGCGTATGTATGTACCCATCGATGTATGTGTGTGCGGATGTGTGTGTCCAAGGATAGGACGTAAGGAGTGGAAACTGTGTACGGGGTCCCGGTCCATGGGGGGCATAGTGGCGCTGGTGAGTGAGGATTTGGGTCGCCAGGACAGGTTTGGGAGTAATGATCTCGGGCGGTGGGGAAAGCAACTGCCGATTTGTTCGCCGACTCCAGCTAACTCCAGATGGGCGGCCTGCGTTGAGGTCTCCTTGCATGTTGGAAGAGCATCACAAGGGTGTCCGCTTTGGCCGAAGCGGCACGAAGGAGTATAGGTATAGCACTGATACCACCGTCACCAACACCTATACCCGGCGCCCATCTCCTTTCGGGCCACTTTCCGTCTGTCAGGTTGGCGACAAGTTCGCCTCCCGTCACGGCCAGAAGGGCACCTGCGGCATTACCTACACCATGGAGGACATGCCCTTCTCCGCGGAGGGCATTGTGCCGGACATCATCGTCAACCCGCACGCCATTCCCTCCCGCATGACCATCGGACATTTGGTGGAGGCGCTCATGAGCAAGGTGAGTGTGGTGGTGGCGGCGCGGGCGGGACAGGCGGGAGGAGCGTGTGGAACAGGCGGGCGTTCGGGGTGGGGTAAGGAGTCAGTACGCCAACGGCGCCGGTGGGGCTGTGGCACGGGTTGCGGAATGGCTAGCGAAGAGGGTCATGGAGAAGAGAAAGGAAATGAAGGGAAAGAGGAAGGGTTAGAGGAACAACCGAATACGACCGCGCGTGGTTTCGTCCTTTTCTTTTGGTTTTCCTTTCCTGTCCTTTGTGCTGTGGTACCCATCATGTCACTTGGCCGGCCCACGCCATCCTTGTTGGGGGATGCTATGTTCCCAACAAACACCTCCTTTCACAAGTAGCATGCTGTCGCAATCTGTTCAAATTCCTGTTCTCCGGTTCGCCCCCACGACCGTCAGGTGGCTGCGCTGATGGGCAGCGAGGGTGACGCCACGCCCTTCACCAAGGTGCGCGCTGCGAATCCTGGCTGCGGCTAGGGCTCTGGAAAAGGATGCGCAGCGATAAGGATGTATAGTCTAGGACGACCTGTAGTTGGAATGACCTGTAGAAGGAATGTCTGGGTGTCTTGGGCGTTGGGTTTCGAAGTGTAGTCAACTGAGATATAAAACTCAGGTATTAAACTGAGATGGAGCCTGTTGAGTGTGAGTGAGCTACCGCACGGTTGACCAGACGATGATTGCGGTGGTGTAGTGGGGACCTGGGCCACGAGTAAAATATGCTTCTGGTAGCGAGCTCTTTATGTTGGAGGGCTCTCCCCGCCTCGTCTTGTATGGAGAACACGCACATGGCTTTTGCCAGTAAGCCCGGCCCCAAACCCAGGTCCCCCAAACCCTTAATCCAATACGATTCATACCCCGTGGCAAAAGCGCCATCGTATATCCCCGGCCCGGTGCCATTTCTGGTGTTAGTTTTGCCCTGAATTTGGTCACCATACTTCGTGTCCAATCGTACAATCCCAATAGTAACCCCAATCCCCTCTTCGATCCTGATCCAAGCCCCAACTCCGACCGTAACGCAATCCCGCTTCCTGTGCCGCCTCCAGGTGACTGTGGACAACGTGTCCCAGATGCTTCACGACCTGGGCTACCAACGCCGTGGCTGGGAGGTCATGTACAACGGCCACACGGGTCGGCAGCTGCGCGCACAGATTTTCCTCAACCCCACGTACTACCAGCGCCTGAAGCACATGGTGGACTTCAAGATCCACTCTCGAGGCCGAGGCCCGGTGCAGGTGCTTACCAGGCAGCCGGCGGAGGGTCGTGCCAGGGACGGTGGACTCAGGTGCGGCTGGGGTTGGCGGTATCCATGTTGTGTGCTGGGCGGGCGCAGATTGTGTGTGTATATAAGTGAATGTGAGCCGCTTCATGTCCTTCCGCACCCTTTTGTTCACACAATATAAAGCTGGGGGTTGAAGAGCGTGGTGCAGGTACTGTGTTGGTGATACATGTGGGCCTTGGATACGTTGAGTGACGTGTGTTGAGGAGTTCAGAGGTGTGTGTAGAGATTGTGTCGACAATCTGTGTGTGTGGACACGAGCCCGTGTCTTTTGGGGGCAAACCACCGCGTCGCGCCGCGCTCTTCCTGCAGTGCGTAAACCGAGACACAAGATGGTGGTAAACAGCCCTCTTTCCCCCACACCGTTCCTGCTGCCACCGCTTCAGCTGCCCAGGCCGTAAGCACGCTTGCATCTGCTGCTGACATGGCCGCAACTGCAATCTTAACAATGGACCTCTGACGCTGTGCTTGACGCTGCCGTCGTCAATCCGCAGGTTCGGGGAGATGGAGCGCGACTGTATTATCTCCCACGGCGCGGCGGCCTTCCTCAAGGAGCGCCTGTTTGACCAGAGCGACGCCTACCGGGTGCACGTGTGCGAGCGGTCGGGGCTCATCGCGGTGGCCAATCTCAAAAAGCAGCAGTTCACGTCCACCATCTACAAGGACGGCTCGAACATCTACCAGGCGAGTTACCGGCGTAATCCCCGCTGGGCAGCGGGCGGTGGATACAAGAGAATGTGGAACAAAGATGTTTTGCTGTGCGGAAGGCGGGAGGGGAACACTGGTGCGGCAATCAAGATTAGTTCGGATTGTGTGCGTACTTCATGAGAGTGACGAAAACGGCAGGAACGGCGGATTGAGATTGCTCCTTTCACCGTGCATCTATTGTTCCTTCCCGTTGTTCCTATTGATTGTATATGGCCCATCTCAGGTGCGCCAGCCTGCCAGGTTCTTCACCTCCATGGTCCGATGAGAGGAAGCACATTCGTCACCACCACACGACCTCACTTTTGTTTTTGCCCCATGCCCAGGTTTCCCGTGTTACGGGCTTGCGTGCTCTCCCCTCCTTATCACATAATTGCCTGCCTCCCTCGCGCTCATCGCAGTTGTATTGACTCTCTCCTTTTCCCCCCTTCCTGCGGATTTATTGCTCGCAGGTGTACGTCCCCTATGCCTGCAAGCTTCTGTTCCAGGAGCTCATGGCCATGTGTATTGCGCCCCGCATGCAGTTTGAGCGTGACCCACCGCCGCCCACGTAGCCGCCTGTGCTCCCAACCCTGCTGCCTCTGGTACGGAGGAGGGGGAAGCAGTGTATCGGCCAACTGGTCGTGAGGCTTTCGGGATGTTGGTTTAGGATTGGCGTGCCCCGCAGTGGTGGGACCTGAACCGTGTGGATTCCGCACCGCGACTCAGGCGGTAACGCTTGCGCTGACGTGTCAGGAGGCCAAGCTGCGACCGAGGGGCCCGAGAACGGCACTGAGCTGGCATGTATGCGGTTGGGAAGGAGGACGTGGTTTGTAACTGGAGGAAGTGTAGGGGGATGGAAAGCAGTTGGCTTTGCAGGGCTCCCTCCCGCGCTTGTGTGGCTGCATGAGTGGGTAGAGTCGCGCGGGTGAGGTCACAGGACAGAACTGCGTGGGGGTTCGTAAAGGCGGAAGAGTTGTGGGAGAAGTGAGGGTGAAAGCAACTGGGGCTTGCTTTCCGGTGGCGCGCGGTACTGCGGCGGTGCAGGCGGCGGCCGGGCCGGAGGTTTCCAGCCATGTTGCCAGCAGGCGTCTCCTTAGTGGAAGTTATTGCAGGGAGCCGCGGGTCCCTGTACAGGCTCAATTGAGCCATTGAGCAATGTGTGTGTTTCTGGGTGTGTCTGTATTACGTCACGTAGCACGAGGAGGAGGTGACGTGAGCTGCGACGGCCATGTAACTCTCGTCCAGGGACTGGAGGCACTTCGGGCAGCCAGTAGCGCCGTCTGGTTGGATGTAGGGAGCAACCACCCGGGCCGGCGGGGTTTGCCTTCCTCACTAGGCCCCGCTGTTATGCTCCGTATTGCACCGGCCGACGGCGGGATGGGCTTGCGGACAGTTTTTGCGTTTCGGATAAATGGATGACGAATGTGTGTATTTGGGCTTCTTAACTTTGCTACAGCTCATGTTGGCTTTATTGATCTGGTTGGGAGATTGCGGCTACGCCAAGGAATGAGGTTTTCGGGACAAGGCCGCGGCAGCGGTACGTGGATACGATAGCTAGCTGCGGGTCCACTGGGTGGGCATTGGTCGCACTGACAGCAGAACAGATCAAAATACTTTTCCTGACAAGCTCGCCCAGTTCAACAGCCGCTACAGGTGGGAAAGCTCTGGCCAGTATACGCACGGGAGGTCAAAGTTCCTGTGGCATTTAGTTGGTGGGTAGCTGGGATCACATCTTCCCTCTCCTCACATTATTATGACGCATAGGAGTAGAGACGCATTCGCTGGCTGGGTGGTCTGTGGTCTGGTGAGCGTAGTGTACAGGGGTGGGCACGAAACTGCTCTTGGCTGCTGAAACCTCTCAGTTTATGATGATGCAGACGGCTTTTGCATCTGCTGGAGCTTACACGGCCGTTGTCAAGCAGTCCCGCTCGCATCGATGATGAGTGGATTGGCGTGCGCCTACAGACGAACATGATTCCCATTACGTCTCCGGATGGCGCAATGGACGCGTGTCGGCATGTATACCTTAGGAGCGTGCCGGATTTGGGTTTTACGCTCACCAGAAAGCACGTGCGGGCATTGGGCGTTGCTCTTTGAGGAGCTAGGGGCGTGAGGCCCATCTGCTGCGATGTCTTTAAAGCTGGGCGTTTATGCTACGTTGTATACAGGTGCCGTTGCCATGCTTTCTTTTGCGCGACATGCACACATCGAAGTGCGGACAAGCACACACAAATAGACGACCCAAATTCCTGCAGTGCCCGAGCCATGCTACGAGATGCGCGATACCAGCCAGCATTCAAACCGCGGGTTACCCCGCACAACTCTCTCGCCACCTCTGCAGGCAACCTGCAATCTATTGTACAGCAACGTGCAAATGCAGCACTTCTCAACATCTTCACACACTCCTGGGGTCGCACTCCGCCTCAGCCTGGTTTCCTCAAAAGACCAGCCATGCCCGCACGACTTATAAACGTGCATTCGCGCCCCACTCACTCCTATCCCAGTCCTAGTCTTTCATATCTAAGTTGGCGCGTCCTGATTCGAATCTCAAAACCGCATGCCGTGGCTCCAGTGCTAACAGAGCCCTCTGCTTCGTTCACTCTCGCGCCTAAAACCATGATCGCAAACAGGAGCCTCTCTTACGGGTATTCGAAGCCGCAAAATAACGGCCCTAAGCTCAACCTCTCGCAGCACAGATCCACACACGCAACTCCCATGCTTACGCCCCGCAAAACTTTCCGCACAGCTGGACGGACGGCGCCACGCAGCACGGCTTTGTCTCTGCGCGTCGCGCTCCCCCTCGGGTGTATGCACACGCGGCTTTCACCTCGCGCTCTTCATCCTCTCCGGCGAAGAAATCCACGCATGCGAGCGAGCGCTGCGCTATCGGTCCTCCTCCACCAGCACTGAACCCTCCTCTTCACTCAGTTCTCGGCCTCCTTAGTCGCTCGCAGCCTCAGCTTCATTTCTCAAATCGGATGCTGTAGCCGCCCGAGTTAGGGTCCTTGTCGAATTTGAAGTTGTCTAGCGACAAGCCGAATTTGCCCAACACCGTGTTGCCCAAATCCTTAAGCTTGGAGAACATCTCCGTCTTAGGGTTTGCCGAGTTCAGGGTCGACAGGTTGGGAAGGACAGGTCGGGGGGCCGGATGGCGAGCCGGGTCAAGAAAAACTAGCAGGAGGACGTCGCAGCGCGACCGGAGAAGGGACCGGCTGTTCTCTGTCATACACGAGTGACACTGACATTACTGACGTTATTTTCCTCCTATATGGGACACACACACACACTCTCTCTCTCTCTCTCATAAGCCTTCACTAGCAAAGGCACAAAGATTCCCGAGAGATACGCCGCCCTTGAACCAACAAACCGACACTCGTACCTTCAGCTTTTCCGTACGCTCGTCCACCTTGGGTTGCAGTACCGCCACTTTGGCCTTGGCCCACGAGTTCTCCGGTTCCACCTGCAGTAGCGCCTTGGCGTCGCCCAGAGCGTGGTCCAGCTCGTCCAATCGCTCAAACGCTTCACAGCGCCGCATGTACGCCTTCAAGTACGACCCATTGAGCCGTATAGCTTCCGTACAGTTCTGTACGGCGTAGTCGTACTGCTGGATTTTAATGTTGCATGCGGCCAGGTTGGCAAAGTAGATGGCTTGCTCCGTGGCCGCGCTCTGGGGAGCTGGAAGGGGAGGGGAAAGACGGGAGGGAGGGGAGGGGAGGGGATGGCAGGATGAGATGACCCTAGGGAGCGGCGACCAGACGGTGCGTTATCGCGCAGTGGATGGTTTTGACGGCGGCTGCAGTCACCAACCCCACCTGCGTCCAGCGCTTCGTTGTACTTGGCCGCCGCTTCGGTCCACAGACCTTTGCCGAACAGCTCGTTGCCCTCCCGCTTTAGTGCCTCCGCCCGCGCGAGCGCCTCAGCGTCCTTAGCTGCTGAGTCCACCTCTTGCTGCTGCTGCTGCTGCTGCTCCTGCGTCTCCACGTTCTCCTCCGCCTCTTGCTGCTGGTGGTTGTCCCCCTTCTGATCTTCTTGCTCCTGCTGCTGTCGTGTCGTTTCTTTCTCCCCAAGATTTTCACCATCTCCACGTCCGCCATCCTGCGGTGCCCCGCTGTGGAAATCTGTCGTAGGGAGCTGTCGCTGCTGCTGTTGAGACAGCGGCAGCTCGCGCTCCTGAGGCCGCTGCGGTTGTGGCTGATTGGCAGAGGGGCCCCCAGCGCCCGTGGTGCTGTCAGCTACTCGGTCTATAGGTCCCACCTCCGTCTGATGCGCGGACTGCTGCTGCTGCTGGCCCTGCTTGTCGGGCCCTGGGGCTGGCTGGAGAGTCTGGTCTGGGTCACCCATCTTGCTGCCCCGTGATATCTCCTGCAAGCTCCTCTCCGAGCGGGTTCTAGCGGCGCCGCTCTGGTGCTTATACAGTCCTTCGGTTGTGACCTGACGCGTTGGGAGTACGACATCACAGAAAGCGTAAGCTAATAGTGCATTTGCAACAGAATGTTGTCAACATTTATAGGTAACTGCACATGCGTGATGAGCCGTAAGAGTGAGGCATGGCTCCGTCGCGGGAATGCTGAGGACGACAGAGCTGTGAGACAAAGGAAGCCGTTCAAGGATCCTTCGTGTATAAGAATCCAGAGAGGCAGAGATGAGGCTATCGCCGTTACCTGGCAGTGCAAACCGGCCTTGTGCGTCTAGAAATTTCCTTACCCTCGTTAGCCTAACTCAGTTGCACCTTGAAAAGGACAAATTGGTTGCCAAAACAACAGATAATCCTGTACAGCTTATGGAGATATCTCGTAATATGGTAAAATATGTTTTAGTGGTTTACCGTTGACAGGTATTATGATCTCCGAAATCATCTGACGCGAGTTCCTGTTTCCAGTTTGGCGGTTCATGAGCCTTTTGGCTCGTCTGGACCGTACAAGCTTGAAGCTTGTAAACGTAAACGTAAAACGTAAAACGCGATCAGACGTCGGCAAATAGAGTATTTCTGGTTTCCGGACGAGTCCATTTCTGTTATCATTGACTGTCGGTTCCGGCCGTCGGGCGGCCGTCCGGGCATGCGAAAGCTCCTCTTTCGCATGGGATGTGGGCCCACATCCTATTTCTGCAAGCGGGCTTGGGGAACTGTACTTCTGTTTTCGGGAGTTTCTGTTCGACCCGAAGTGCCCAAAGCGTTTGCCGATGCCTGCTGGGCGTTCACCGACCGATAAGGTTACCGGTCGGTAAGGTAACCGACCACTAAAGTTACCGATCAGTTACCGGATCGTGAATGTCGGTTACCTTACTGAAGCGACCGGTTGGGTTAACCGGTTAGCTAACCGGTCGGTTACCGAACCTTTTATGCCATAAGGTAGAGGGAGGGATGGAGGGAGGGATGGAGGGAGGGATGGAGGGATGCATGTATGGCGGGATGTGTGGAGGAAGGTTGGGTCGCTCAGGGCCACAAAAAACCCTAAGGCTTGTGAAAACGCAGCTTGACCCGGATGCAGCTTTTCGTCACCAGGAGATGAAACGTGGTGCGTGGTCTTTCATGGATCTTAACGACATACGATATACACAGCCCATGAGAATTCTGCTCCATGCAGGGAAGGACAGTAACACTTTTTCCACCCAGTAAATGCCCTGCCTCATCTGCTACAGCTACCGGATAAGAACGAACGAAGAAGTCTGATTGCATGAGGTCGCGTGACTTCGAAGTTCTCATCAGTCATTAATGCACGTACAGGTAACTCCTGCTTAAAACAACCCGGGGGTCAGGAATCAGGCCCCGGGGGTCATGGAGCGGCCCCCATGGGGGCCCCCATAGAAGACGATGTAGGCCATACATGTCAATCGCGATCCATTCAGAGGGTCTCTTCCCCGATATGATACATGGGGGGCATTGTGGAGTATAAAAAACATGCAATGCAGAGCATGCACTGCAATTGCGGCCTCTTCATCATATAGCTATTCGCGCCATATAGCTATTCGCAAGATCAAGGTCCCGGCGGTGGACTTCTGAGTGCCAGCACGTGTGAGCACAAGATGCCAGAGATGCCAAAGTCTCATGCTGACCACTTGCAGAACCAGGCGGCCTTAGGCTTACCCAGCAGCCGCTAGAGGGTAGGACAAACTGTCGGGCAGAGCAATTCTTTTGACTGCCCCGGTCGCACAATTCCCGTGCTTCCCTAATTCGACACCCTGAACACGCTAATTCTGACTGTCCGAATGTCCCTGCCAGGCCAATTCGACACCCTGTCAGCCTAATTCTGACTGTCGGAATGTCCCGCCAGGCTAATTCGTATCCCTGTCAGGCTAATTCTGACTGTCGGAATGTCCCTGCCAGGCCAATTCTTATCCCTGTCAGGCCAATTCAAGGGCCTGTCCCGGCAATTCAACTTGTCCCAGGTGTCAATCTAAACCCTTCTACCGAGCAATCTAGACCAATTGCAGGGTCTGCCCCCAAACTCTCAGGCACGCATTCAGAATCGCGGAAGTTGAAGGAACTTTACGAAACAAGGGGAGCACTTACAAATATCTCTCGTATGTTTGTTGGTTTCAAATCCGTACATGCTTGTACGGTAACAAGGCGTGTGGGGCTCCTGCCACTTCCTGCCCCATATGGGACACGGGTAA